CTTCCCTCCTTCCTTCCTTCCTCCTCTCCTTCCTCCTTCCTTCCTCCTCTCCCTCCTCCTTCCTTCCTCCTCTCCCTCCTCCTTCCTTCCTCCTCTTCCTTCTTCCTCTCTCTCCTTCCTCTATCTCCCTCTTCCTTCCTCCTTCCCTCCCTCTTTTTCCTTCCTCCTCTTCTTCCTTCCTCCTTCTTACTCGCCCTCCTTCCTCCAACCTCCTCGCCCTCCTTCCTCTGTCCTTCTCTTCATCTTCTCCCTCCTCTCTCTCCTTTTTCTCCTTCCTGCTCTCTCCTACCTTCCTTCTCTTTTTCCTCCCTCCTCTTCTTTCTTCCTTGTCCTCCTCACCCTCATTCCTCTGCCCTCCTCTCCCTCCTCGCCCTCCGCCCTCCTTCCTCCTACTTCCTACCTCATCACCCTCCTACCTCCTGGTCCTCCTTCCTCCTCCTTCCTCTCCCTACTTCCTCTCTTTTTCCTTTCTTCTATTCTTCCTCCCTCCTCCTCCTCTTCCTCCTTATTCCTCCCTTCTCATCTTCCTCCTCTCTTTTCTTTTCCATTCCTCCTCTCCCTCCTTCTTCCTTCCTCACCCTCCTTCCTCCCTCCTTACCCTCCTTTCTCCTTCCTCCTCACCCTCCTTCCATCTTTCTCCTCGCCCTTCTCCCTCCTTTTTTCTTCCTCGTCTTTTTCCTTCTTCTTTTTCCTTCCTCCTTCCTACTTTTTCCTTCCTTCCTCTTTATCATTCCTCCTGGCTCCTTCCTTCTCTTCTCCCCTCCTCCTTTTTCCTCCTTTCCCCTCCTCTTTCCTCCTCTTTTCCCTCCTCCTCTTTATCCCTCCTCCTCTTTTCCCTCCTCCTTTTTCCCTCCTCCTCTTTTCCTCCTCCTCTTTCCCTCCTCCTCTTTCCCTCCTCCTTTTTCCCTCCTGCTTTTCCCCTCCTCCTCCTTTTCCCTTTTCCTTTTTCCCTCCCTTCTCTTTTTCCTTCTTCCTTTGTCCTCCTTCCTCCTTGTCTTCCTACCTCCTTGCCCTCTTTCGTCTGCCCTCCTTGCCCTTCTTCCTCCTCTCCCTCCTTCCTCCTCTTTTTCCTTTCTCCTATTCTTTCTTCTTCCTAGTCTTCCTTCTTCCTAGTCTTCCTTCTTCCTAGTCTTCCTTCCTCTTCCTTTTTCTTCTTCCCTCCTCTCATTCCTTCTTCTTTCATCCTCTCCCTCCTCTCCCTCCTCCTCCTTCCTCCCTCCTCTCCCTCCTTTCTCCTCCTCCTCTCCCTCCTTCCATCTTTCTCTTTGCCCTCCTTCCTCCTTCCTGCTCGCCCTCCTTTCTCCTCTTTTTCCTTCCTCCTTCCTCCTCTTATTCCTTCCTCCTCTTTTTCCTTCCTGCCCTTTTCCTTCCTCCTTCTTTTGTCCTCCTTCCTTTGTTCTCTACCCTCCTTGCCCTCCTTCTTCCTTCCTCCTCTCCCTCCTTTTTTCTCTTTTTCCTTTCTCCTATTCTTTCTTCTTTTTCCTCCTTCTTACTCCCTCCTCTCCCTCCTCCTTTCTCCCTCCTCTCCCTCCTCCTTTCTCCCTCCTCTCCATCCTTCTTTCTCCCTCCTCTTGTTGCTCCTTCCTCCTCTCCCTCCTTTCTCCTTCCTCCTCACCCTCCTTTCATCTTTCTCCTCGCCCTTCTTCCTACTTCCTGCTCGCCCTCCTTCCTCCTTTTTCCTTCCTCTTTTTCCTTCCTTTTTCCTTCCTGCTTTGCCCTCCTTCCTGCTTTGCCCTCCTTCCTGCTTTGCCCTCCTTCCTGTTTTGCCCTCCTTCCTGCTTTGCCCTCCTTCCTCCTCTTTTCCCTTTTTCCTATTCTTCCTTCTTCCTGTTTGTTCCTCTTCTTCCCTCCTCTAGCTGTCTTCCTCCCTTCTCTCGCTCCCTCCTTCCTCCTCTGCCTCCTCCTTCCTCCCTCCTCTCCCTCCTTCCATCTTTCTCCTCGCCCTCCTTCCTCCTCT